TGCCAGGCCAGGAAACTGGGGAACACTGGCAGTTGTGTGAGCAGGGCAGACACCCCCCCCCCAACTTTCCTCTAGGTGGAATGGGCAGGTGGAGCCCAGCAGGGGAATGCTTAATTTGGGGAGGTGAGCTGTTACTCACTCCAGTGGAAACTGCATGCAGTAACACACTTGTTCATTCCTCCTAGGCTGGCAAGCTGGGGTCCAGGGTAGTCCCCTGTGCCCCCTTGGGGATGGTGACACTGAGGCCCAGTGGAGCCCCACAGGCCCAGAACACTAGCGGGGATGGCTGTCCATTGTCCTATGTTCCAGGTGAGAAGCCAAAGGCAGGGTCAGGGTCCTGCCTTCCAAGGACATGCTGGGAGTGGGTGTTTATTTTTGGAAGGAAAAACATACAAAGAATAAGACCAGGATTAAGGAAGGGGTCTAGGGGTCAGGGCTGTGGGCCTGAGCCTCCCTGCTGTGTCCTTGGTCGGAATTCTGAGGTCGCCCAGGAACTAGTGGGGTGCAGGATTGCAAGGTCAAGTGGTTCTCCAGGACAGCGTGCTCTCACCTGGGCTACCGGACTAAGCCATTCCCCCACAAAATAACATCTCTGTCGCATAGCCCAGCGCTCAAGGCCCATAGTTTCCCACTGCAGCTTTTCCTCCCTCGCAACTCTCTACCCTCCCCAACCCATGATGTCCCATGGCTCCCTGGTGATTGACCTCTTAGTGAACCATGATTGTAGGCACTTCTCTGATCATCCTGCCTGAGTTGACACCCACATCCAGCACCCTGGGGGCCCAGGAGAGTCTTTCTACTTGCACCACAGGCACTGTTGGCCAGATTCTCAGGCTGCTTGCCCTGCCCCTGCTACTTCCTGGATAATCACCCCTCTCCCCGTCAGTTGTCTTCTGCCAGCTGCCATACCCGCAAGCCCTTGCTATAGGCTGGACTCTGGGCACTGACAGTTGTGACTGACAGACTTGCGTCTGCCCTTGGAACCTGAGACGTGATGGGGATAGACAAGTAATTTAAGTCCAGTTGGGACCAGGATCCCCAAGCAGCACATTCGCACTCCTGAGAGGGACTCCAGTGCCAACTGCCAGCACAGTGTCTGCCCCTAGTGCTCTCCTGCAGCACCTCCCCTGGCTACTTGATGAATGCTGGGTTTCCCAGGCTGGGACCTTTCTCTCCCTACGTTCCATGTGCCCTGGAATCCCTCTTACCTCCCGACACCAACTGGACACCCAACAATCAATCACACCATCCCCCCTTTCAGATGCCAGCCACAAGTCCCTAGCCACCCTCATTTCTGACCAAGCAGCTACAGATAGGGACTTCTCTAAACGACCAACATAGGATCAGGAAAGCATGTCCACAGCCATGGAGGAGACACAGCAGGTATGGAAAAGGGTAGGCACCATGCCCTCCCAACACCTGCTCTAGTTCACCGAACCCCATTCTGGGGTCTCATTCTCCACCCAGGAACTGGGAATAAACCCAAATGTTTGTATCAGAGTACCTTTCCTGTCCCTAAATTGCCTTCTCTCCCACCTGGCTGCCTGAACCCACATCTCTGGGCTCCTGCCTGAGGAGCTATTCATCTCATAATAAAGGGAAGTCTGCCCTGCCTGAATTCTCTCTGATGGGGGTACTACCCCACCTTCACTGACTCCCCCACATTGGACCCCTTGCTTGAGGACAGAGCCCAGGGCCAGAATCTGGGAGTCCCTGGCCTCTAAGGCCAGGTCCTGACTGTATTTCCTGCGAAAGTTCCCAACTATCCACCTTTTGGGCCAGCTCCAGGGGTGGAAACTTTCCAGCAGGAGGAGGCTGCTTGTTTTGGAAAGTTCCTGGGGGAGCCTCACACTGCCCGCTGGTTCCCACGCTCTTATCGCTGGGCTCTAGCACCCCCCTCCTAGCCCCCACCCCCCCAACCACACCCCCAGTGCTGTGTGGCCAGGTTCCTCCCTAGCTGGCAGCCTCTTTTCTGCCCATCCCCTCCCCTTTGAACAGCCCCCTCCTCCAGCCTGGCCCAGCCAAACCTATCTGCTAAAGTAAGGAAATCAAGGCCATGATAACCCTCCCCCATTTGTGAGCCCTTTCATTTCAGGGTTGGGAGTGCCTGGCGGGTACTACTGGGAAGGAAAAGTAGTCAGGGTTGGAGGGTGTCTTCTTCTGGAGTCTAAGCCCTGGCTCAGTCCTCTGTCTGGGTTTCCCTGCCTCAGTTTCCCCAGTCCAGCTTCCTGGCCCAGCTCCAACTGCTTGGTTGCTGGGCTCTAATACAGCCTAATGTCCTCTGTTGTAAAACGGGGCTTGGAGGTGCTTGGACCTGGGGTCTGCAGCCCATGTATGTGCCTGGTTAGGCCAGGGTTGGGAGGGGCGCGCAGCAGTGCGGGCTACCGCGGCAGGACCTCAGACCCCAGTCCAAGGCCGGCGCGCTCCTCCCCCGGGGGCGGGGCGGGGCGGGGCCACGGCGCTTTTCTCCGGAGTTCGCGCGCCGGGCCTCTCGCCGCGCGCTTCTGTCGGAGCTGACTGCGCTGGTGAGTGGGGCTTGGACGGACGGTGGGCTCCTGAGAACCTGAGTCGACCTGGCCGGCCAGCTCTCACATCCCCACTGACCTCCCACTGACCCGCAGCCTTAGCCCACTGCGATGGAGGCCGCTGCTGAGTTGGAGTTTTTAGTGGAGAGCCCAGACGTGGTGTACAGCCCCGAGGCCATCGAGGCTCAGTACGAGTACCGCACGACGAGCGTCAGCCGCGAGGGCGGCGTCCTCAAGGTAGGGCGGGCCGGGTGCCTCGGGGAACGGAGATTGGATGCCGAGGCGGGTGGTGAAGGAGTGTGGGGCTGGGGAGCTGGGGAGGGACGCGGACGGCCAACATCTAGGACCCTGTTCCCTGTCCCTGTGGTGAAGGGGCCGGGGCTCACTGTGCTGCTTTCCCCCAGGTGCACCCCACGTCCACACGCTTCACCTTCCGGACCGCCCGGCAGGTGCCCCGGCTCGGGGTCATGCTGGTCGGCTGGGGCGGGAACAACGGCTCCACGCTGACGGCCGCAGTGCTGGCCAACCGACTGCGCCTGTCCTGGCCCACGCGCACGGGCCGCAAGGTGGGGGTATCCGCTCGGGCTCCACTGCAGCCCAAGTGGGATTCCACTGTAGTCCTGCGACAGTAAGGGGGAGGGCTGGGCTTCCAGGGAGGAGGGCCCCCTTTTGGGCGAAGTGATGCTCTTGCGTGCGGGGCAGGGCTTTCATGGAGAGGGGCGGGGTCTCCAAAGGGGTTTTACAGGGTGGGCCCAGGGCGTGATCTCTGGAGGGGAGGGTGGTTTCTGCCCTGGCTTGGAGCCTGGAACTCAGATGTCTAAAAGTGTGTGTGTCGGGGGGAAATAGAGGATACAGACTGGAGGCCCCCAAACCATGCCCATCCCTCACCCACGCCCGCACTGCTACTCCCTAGGAGGCCAACTACTACGGCTCACTGACCCAGGTGAGCACTGTCAGCCTGGGCCTGGACGCCGAGGGCCAGGAGGTGTTCGTGCCCTTCAGTGCCATGCTGCCAATGGTGGCACCCAACGATCTGGTGTTCGATGGTGGGTGGGGCCCTGGGCAGGGTGTGTGGGAGGTGAGGGTATCTGGGACCCGACTGAGTTTGAGGATTCCCTCCAGGATGGGACATATCGTCACTCAACCTGGCTGAGGCTATGAGGCGTGCACAGGTGCTGGATTGGGGGCTGCAGGAGCAGCTGTGGCCACACATGGAGGCCCTGCGACCTCGGCCTTCTGTCTATATCCCTGAGTTCATAGCTGCCAACCAGAGTGCACGTGCAGACAACCTCATCCTAGGCACACGCGCGCAGCAGGTGCAGCCCACCCCCATCCCTCAATCCCTGCCATTTGTTCCCACCACCACCACTTGTATCTCACCTCCCCCCCGCCCCAGCCATTTCCTGCCCCCTCCACCTGTTCCCCTCCTTTGGTCTGCATGCACCCATCTGGGCATTTAGCCTCTGCTTTGCACTTGGGGAACTGAGCAGATTAGATCCCTATAGGTCGGGGGGCATGTACAACCTCCCCCCAACTCCCACCCCCTAGCTGGAGCAGATCCGCAGGGACATCTGCGACTTCCGGTCAAGTGCCGGGCTGGACAAAATCATTGTGCTGTGGACAGCAAACACAGAGCGCTTTTGTGAAGTGGTTCCAGGCCTCAATGACACTGCTGAAAATCTGCTGCGCACCATCCAGGTGGGTGTACCCAGTGTACTGTGGGCAGGGCTACCCCTAGAAACTCCATGGTACTGACTATCCACCTGGTCTACAGCTGGGCCTGGAGGTGTCGCCCTCCACACTCTTTGCTGTAGCCAGCATCTTGGAGGGCTGTCCCTTCCTCAACGGGTCCCCGCAGAACACGCTGGTACCTGGTGCACTCGAGCTTGCGTGGCAGCGTCGTGTCTTCGTGGGTGGAGATGACTTCAAATCAGGCCAGACCAAGGTCAAGTCTGTGCTGGTGGACTTCCTTATTAGCTCTGGCCTCAAGGTACGTGAGCCTGAGGGTTCCCAACTCAAGAGAGGGAGGCCTGGATGCCAAGTATCCAACTTGTGGCCATGGGGCCCTTTTTTCTGCAGACCATGTCCATTGTGAGCTATAACCACCTGGGCAACAATGATGGGCAGAACCTGTCGGCACCGCCACAGTTCCGCTCCAAGGAGGTGTCTAAGAGCAACGTGGTGGATGACATGGTGCACAGCAACCCTGTGCTGTACTCACCGGGCGAGGAGCCAGACCACTGCGTGTGTGGGGCAGCTTGCAGGGGGGAGAGGGAGGAGGGCACAGAACTGGGCAGTTACCTGTGTAACCTAGAACTGTCTTGTAGGTGGTCATCAAGTATGTGCCATACGTGGGTGACAGCAAGCGTGCAATGGATGAGTACACATCAGAGCTAATGCTGGGTGGCACCAATACCCTGGTGCTGCACAACACGTGTGAGGTAAGGTGCGGTACAGTGGGGCCCCTGAGGGGTGGGGCCACCCCTGCTGCACACTCCTCCTGACACCTTGGTCCCCAGGACTCGCTTCTGGCTGCCCCCATAATGTTGGACCTGCTGCTGCTGACTGAGCTGTGTCAGCGTGTAAGCTTCTGCACTGATGCTGACCCGGAACCACAGAGCTTCCATCCGGTGCTGTCCCTGCTGAGTTTCCTGTTCAAGGCACCACTTGTGCCACCTGGCAGCCCGGTGGTCAACGCCCTTTTCCGCCAGCGCAGCTGCATTGAGAACATCCTCAGGTGGGCCTGGTCTTGGGAGTCTCCACTTGTGGCCCAGGTGGCCACCCACCAGGCTGTGCATGGATCCTAGGGATTAAGGTTGTGGGGGCAGTCTAGGGAGCTGGCCCCACTGAACCCATGTCTTACCCCCAGGGCCTGTGTGGGGCTACCACCGCAGAACCATATGCTTCTGGAACACAAGATGGAACGTCCTGGCCTCAAGATGGTTGGGCCTGTGGTAGCTGCCTGCCCTGTGCCACTCAAGAAAGGGTCAGCTCCCAGTGCCCCCAATGGCTGTACTGGTGATGCCAATGGGCACTCCCAGGCTGAGGCACCCAAGACACCTACCACCTGAAGCTGTGGCCACACAGTCCCTTAATTCCTGCCACCATGTCCCTCAGGAACTTATCCTTCCAGATCCCCCACTAAATAAAGCTAGTGCCACTGTCAGCCACATATCTCTGCCTGTGGGTTTTTGGTGCCAGACTTAACCCTAAGCACCCCTTAAGTCTGGCTGAATTCTTCTATCTTTCAACATTCAGCTGTTGGCCCAAACCCCAAATTTTCCAGAACCCAGTGCCTCTGCCTAATAACCAAAGCCCTTGAAAGTGAGGCTGCAAGTCAACATGAAAAAACATGAGAACAAGTACCAAAAAAAAATTACATTTATTGATGGGGCCCACCCCCTGCCATCCAGGGGAAAGGAGGTTCCCCATTGAGCCCCCCTCCTCCATAATACAGAAATGGTAGGCAGGGCCCATTCAGGAGAGTGTCTCTGAGGTCCTTGCATTTTTTTTATAAAATGAGAAAGTCCTTCCTGCTGGGCCTCCCAGCGTCCAAGCCTTGACCAGGAGTCCAGCTGCCTGAGGTGTGACCTCAGACCCTTACCCTGCAGACCCCCAGCCCCTGGACTGTGGCCCTGGGCAGGGGCATTGGGCAGAAGCCGAGTCCGGCAGTGGACAAGGGGGCTGTTGCCCATCACACGCTCATGGTCATCCCGGGGGAGTACTGCAGAGAGACGAGGGTGGCGCGCGGGCCGACTCAGCTCTAGCAGAGGCTGGGACCCGCCCCCCTGGGAGAATGGAGGATGGGGAAGGGAGAAGGGGCTGGGCGTGGTGAAGCAGCCCCAGGGCACGGATCCCAAGGTCGGGGGTGGGGGGGGCGCCGTGATAAGGCTAGGGCAAAGGAGAGAGTGTAAGGTTGCCGCGGCCGCCCCCCCCACCTGGCCCGCCGCGGTCACGGTCTTGTTCTGGCCCCCCGGCCGCCCCGCCGGGGCCTGCCCGCCAGGCCCCTCCGGCCCGACGCCGCCGCGGGAGGGGAGTCGACGCAGTCGCTTACGCTTTCACTCGGGAAGGGGTGCAGGAAGGTCCCGGGGGCCGCCATCTCGCCATCGTCCCGCGGGGTGCCGGGGGCGTTGCTCAGGCCGGCCACGGCGCCGGGGGAGCTCTGGGGGCGGCCTCAGTCAGCTGCGGGAGGCCGCGGCCAGCCCCGCCCCGCGCGCAAGGCCCCGCCCCCGCGGGAGGGGCCCCTCACCTTTGGCAACCCGTCCAGCTCTCCCGAGCCTGCGGACAACACCGCCGATTACAGACGAGCCGCGCCTCCGCCCGAGGGCCCGGCCCGCCCCGCCCCGCCCCGCCCCGCCCCCGGGGGTCTCCACGTCCGCTCAGCACTTGCCCGGCGCCACCGCCTTCCTCGTGAGGGTGAGGGCAGGAAGTCTGGGCACTTCTAGACTTAGTGATTGAACCCTGGCGCCCCCCGCCGCGGAGGCTAGGGTGCTGAGCGGCCTGAGAGGGTCCTGGGACACCCACTCACCCAGGGATCCGTTCACGTGGTGAGGCTCCATCGAATTCATGGCCGCCATGGGGCCCTCTGAGCCAGGCCCCAGCGGGAACTGTGGGGAGAGGGCGGGGGGGGGGGGGGGGGCATGGGAATCTGGCCACCAGACGTCTGAGAGGTAGCCATCGTGGCAAGCCTACCCCACACTCACGTTAGCCCTGCCGGCGCCTGGCCCGATGGGGTTCATGATGGTGTACATGTTCTCACTGGAGTTGGTAGAGTCTGGGAGACAAGGTGGCAGCATTCAGCATGGGGAGGGGGTAGATGGGTCACAGGGCTTCTCCCAGACACACCCCTGCCAAACCCAAGTACCTCCAGGGCTGGGCATGATGGGTGTTCCAGGAGGCCCACCTCCTCCTGGGGGTCCCTGTACATCGAGGGGACAGGTGTGAGAAAGGTCCCCATCTGCCACCCCACAGCCCCTCCCCGATTTGGGGTAGCCCCACTCACCGTGTAGCTGCTGGGGGAAGAGGATGAATAGGGGATCTGGGAAGAAGGCAGCTGTGAGTGATCTGCCCCTTCCATCCCTTTAATTGATCTCAGCCCAGTGCCCCCATCCCCCAAGACTCACCGAGTTGCCACTGGGGCTGGTCCATGGTCCTCGAACTCCAGGCCCCCTAGAACGGAAGGTGGGTGGACTCTGAGGCCAAGTCTCAGTATACGCCCACGGCCCCATGCGCCCCTGGGCAGCAGCTATTGGCTGAGAAGCAGTGACCACCCCATCACTCACTGTCCTTTGGGCTTCAGCTTCCCGACCCAACAGGAGCCGGGCTGCTGCGTGGGATTTAGGTCCTCCCTAGCACTCCCACATGCCTGGATCTCTGGGGCCTTACATGTTCATAGTGGGAAGGCCAGGGCCAGCAAGGGAGTTGGTGGGAGGTCGCATGCCACCTCCGTAGGTCTGCAAAGGTAAAAGGACTGTGAGTGCTGGTCAAGAGGGGACAGTCACTGAAATCCCCAACAGAATGCAGCCCTTACCTGGGGCCCAGCACCAGCCATGCCCCGTGGAGGCGTCACTCTCTGCATGGGGCCCATGCTTGGATGTCCTGGTTGGGGGCAGAAGGAAGAAGGCTCAAGCTGGGACAGCTCCCTGGCATGGAAGGTGCTGGGGCTGGGTCGGGGGTCTACACAGTGAAGCAGTTGGGGCTGTGCTAGGAGCCACGGTACTGCTGGGAGGTGTGTGTGGGGGTACAGCTGGAGCTCTCTACTCACCCTGAGCACGCTGGGAGGGGTCCATGGCGCCAGGGAGGAGGGGCTGGGAGCTGGGGAGGCCCACAGGAGGCTGCAGAGGGGGTACGGCAGCACTGAGCGTTGAGTGCCACCACCCTGGCCCAAATCCTGCCCCCCTCCCCTCATCCCTTTCTCACCTGATTCGGCATCCTCAGGGTGGGCCGGGGGCCCCCTGGGAACCGCGGTGACATGAAGGGCTGGAAGAGGTGGGCTGGGATCAGCACCTCCCACCCCTCACTGCTCCCCCCTAACTACTCTGTTTCTGTTGCACCCAAGCCTCACAATGGGACAGCTACCTCTCCAGGCCCAGCTGGCAAACAGCAGCCACCTGGCCCGGTGCATGTGGGCATGGGGCAGGCAGGTGTGAGGGGGCAGAGTGTCATAGGTCCTTACCTGAACTTGAGGCCCCATCATGGGGGCGTTGGGGTTGTGGGGGGGCAGCTGGGAACCAGGGGGCCCCTAGGAGGACAGAACCAGGCTGGTTGGGAAGAAGGTCCTATGGCTCTGGGGAAGGGTGCCATAGAGACAGGAAGGCAGGGACATGGTAGAGGAGGGAGGGTGGGCCCATCCTACAACTGCCAGTCTACAGGAGGGAGGGTTGGGGAGTCACAGGCAGGACCTGTGGTTCAAAGAGCCATACTCTGCCTCCCCAAGCACCCTGACAAACAGGCACAAGACGGTGCAGCGAGTCCACCTTCTGCTAGATGAGGGGCACACTGCCACTCCCTCCCTCACTGGCCACACCGAGCAAGCATGCGCATCCCCATGGCACCCACAGCTCTCGATTGACTCCAGCCTGCCCTCTTCAGGGGCTCTCCCCATGGAGAACCCTCATTCCCCTCAGTGCCCACACCTGTCACCCTCAGACACACACAACCCAGGGCTCGAAGACAGGGGGCCCAGTCCTGGCTGTACCTGGAAGAAGCCTGGTGCCATGGGCCCTGCTGCCATTATGTCGCTGGGGGCCATACTCCCCATCACTGGGCTAGGGGCCGCTGCAGTGCTCTGCAGGGGCAGGGAGAGGCAAGGGTCTGGTTGGAACACTTCTGCCTGAGGGTCCCCGCCTCTCTGCATACAGCCAGCCCGCGGGGAACAGGCAACCCAGGCCCTCCTACCCTTCATCCTTGGGTGGGAGGAGGTCTGGGGGTGGGGGTCTCCTAAGTGAAGGAGACTACTTAAGTGTCCCCAACCTGGTATAGCAACCCTGACACCACCTCCTATGTACCGGTGGGTGGTCCTCAGCAAGGGTTCCACCTCCTTACTGCACCAGAGACCCTGGAGGCCACCAGGCAGGAAGGATGATAGGGACCCCAGTCCCAAGGAGTCCCAGGTCTGAGGATTCTGAGTCTGAAATACCAACCACTCCAGCTCCAGGGAGTGCCCAGACCCCCACGAAGGCCCATCCCAACCACCCTGTGTCCTAGCTGGCAAAGACATCCCAAATAACACACCAAAAAACAATGGGCAACTTCAAGATTAACCTCTCTCCCAGAGGAGACGGTTCCCCCTCGGAGCACTCCCTTTCTCTAAGACAAAGTGGAAGAAGGAGCAGCGGTCTCGGTTGAGGTGGGCTCACCAAGCCCCATCTCTCTTCAGAGGGAGAAGGGAACAGCTAAAGAAGGCTACTCCGCCCTGTGGGCCAACAGCTGAGATGCTTAAGGTAGCCTGGGGTAGCAGGGGGACGGGCTGACAGGCCACTTCCTCTGCCGGTTCCAATTTGCAGACATCTGCCTTTGGGGTACCTCCCCTGGGGGAGGTGGGGGCAGAGGGGACAACTCCAAGGGGGAGGAAGGGGGAGGAGAGACAATGCAGGTACTTCTCCAGGGTCTCGACTCTGGTCATTGCCACCAGGCCCCAAGAGGAAGAGATGGCCTGTGTGGGTCACTGCTGTCCCTGGGTCTTGCACAGGCGGGCACACAGGGCACTCAGGAATTGGTGGAACTGTAACCACTTGGGCTCAGAGCATGTTGTCCACCGCCATACAGCGATTCTGGCCCTACAGGAGTGGGAAAGGGGTACCTGGAGATGGTCCAGTCCCCTTTGGGGGACTACAGCCCGACCCCTCCTGCCCTTCACAAATGTTAGCCTCTAAAGGCCTCCTGCCCAGCTGAGTACCCTGAAAAGATAGCAATGGGACTCTGCAGAGGCCTGTGATTCCGGGAGGGTGGGGGGAGAGAGGGGGCAGGGAGGACCACTGGTGACAGCACTCCCAGACCCCAGCCCACATCCTGTGAAAGCCCCAGTGACCCTGGGGTGCAGGTGAAGGACACAGCTCTCAGCCTCCCCTGAACATGCCAATTCAGCCCCTGCCTCCACCTCCCCCCTCCCAAACACTGATAACCTTGAACGGGTACTCTTAAAACAGCTGCTTCAGTGGCTGGAGAGGAAGCCTCTGGCCCCTGGATCTTGCCCCCCAACCCTGTAGGGAAGCTGGCAAGCAGTCTGCCTCTGGAGCCAGGACAGGTCTGGAGGACAGAGGTGAAGCATGCTGGGCTTCAGACCACAGGTGGAGGGGCAGGGTAGATAAGGCAGTTGTCACCTGGGTGCCTCCCCAGTTGAAGGATCTGTGGGGCGGAGCTCCCCACATCAATCATTGGGAAAAGTACCTGCCTGGGGTTGCACTGCCATGACAACGGGCTAAGCAGCTTGCATTTCTGGGAGATTGCAAGGTCTCCTGAGGGGGTGGGGGGCCGGGGGGGGGGGGAAATGTTGAGTTCCCACTTGAAGGGCAGGAGGAGGGGTCCGACCATATTGTGGGGGCTGGAGAGGGGGGCTCGGGCTGCCCAGTTGAGAGTAGCAATAGGCTTCTGCCTGAGGCCACAAGGGCCCCAGCAGCTCCCCTACAAGCCCCCCCCCCATGCCATAGTAACGGGCATGCACCCTGGGAAGCATGCTCACAGCAGAGGAAACCATGTGCCCCCCCACCCCCCCGTTCCCAGAGGCAGGCAGCAAGCAGAGTGGGGGGAGAGGGGGCTGGGGTGAAAGGGGTATGGGGACAGAGCCCAAGGGGCACCAGAAAGGTGCAGGAGGAGCTAAGAGCTGAGCCCACTTGGAGTCAGGCAGCTTCAGACACCCCTCTGCCCTGGGCCCAGTTACGGTGGGATGCACAGGAGTACTGGGATCCAGTGGCGGCCAACAGCAGCAACCTGCTACCACATGCATAGCGCGTGCGGGACTTTCAGTGAGCTCCCAGCCCTGCAGAAGCCTATGGTTCCTGGGGGGCAGGATGCACTAGGTAGAGCCTTGGCCGATTGTAGAGAGGTATGACCCTATGCTCAGGCTGTAGGAAAGGGAAGACCCACCTGGAGCTAGACGCCCCCTCAACCCCTTCAGGCCCACAGCCCAGACCCTGCTAAGCCCGGGCCATCCCCCAGACCACTGAGGGGCCAGATAGCCAAGTCCCACAGGTCAGGGCAGAGAGGATAACAGGAGGAGCTGGTAACAGGAGGGGGATGCCATCTGCTCCCCTGACAAGATGCTGCCCCCTCTCATGTGACTCCTCTAGTCTCTTCTGCAGATGGGCCTCTGGCCCCCACTCAACCCAGAGGGAAACTGAGGCCATATGTGGTGGCAGCAGTCCCAGTCCTGAGCAAAGTCAGGAAACTGTGCTGGGGTGCATGACACAGTTAGCAACCCCCTCCCCCCTCCACTGCCCCAGCTAGGGCTCCCCCTCAGAAGGCTTGGGAAGGTTAGCCTGGAAGGGCAGGCAGTGGTGACCAGCCAGCAGCCTCCACCAGGGTCACATGGAGAGTCCACCTCAGGAGAGCAAGGGGGACTGTGGGGGACCCTCAGGCACTGAGTGCAATGGGAGGAAGTCTCTCAACCCCACAAATGACCTGAACCAAGTGGAGGGCATAACAGTGGCCAGGATCCGGGGTCAAACCCTGCATCCTGGTCCACCTGCCCACCAAACCAGCCTCAGGCCTCGAAACCCTCCAAGGCCACCTGCAGCACACCAGTGAGCCCCAGTCCTGGTCCCTGGGTCTTGGGGGGAGGGGGGAACTCACATAGTCCTGGAAGGCCTTGGCCTCACTCGAGTGCTCACAAGCCTCTCTGCGGTCAGGCGCTGCACAGTACAAGTCCCAGAACACGCTGTGGGCGGCAGGTGGGGGGGTCGGTGGTTTCCCCCGAGCCCCCTCCCGCCCCCCCAGCCCCCACACCAGTCCCACACGCACCACCACCAGGAATGTAGAAAGCCTGGGGGCTCCCCGAGTGTGATGTTCTTCTCCCATCGGATCTGCAGGGGAGAGGACAGGCAGGTGAGGGGCCCTGTCAGACCCCTCCCCACCGCCACAGCCCCCGCCCCACCCCGCCCGCCCCGCCCCAGGGAACACGGCAGGAGGCCTGTGGTCCAGGACAAGGGAGCAGGCGCAGCGGGCACACCCTCAGCTGGGACAGATAGCTTGATACCAGCCTCAGTGCCCAGGGCTACCAGAGGGGCAATCCAACCCCACAGAAACGGGGTTGCGGGGACCCAGGGTGGAGGTGGCAAGGAGGGCCAAGCTAGGGACGGGGGGCTCCAGCTTACTTCAGACAGAAAGGTCTGGGCTGACTTCTGGGCACCGACGTGCAGCAGGTACTCGTACACGTACAGCGCCAACCTGCGGGTGGTGGTGGGGGGACTCAGGGGGTGGGGAGGGCAGCCCCAAAGCCCTGCCCTTGGCAGGCATGTGGAGATGGTGGACAGGAGAGCCACCCCTGCCTCGCTCGCTGTCTGCTTTCCCGTTGGACCCCTAATCTTCCCATTGCCCCTTTCCTCACAGAAGATGGCCTCACCAGTCGCTCGGCTAGGCCAACTCCTCCACTCTCATCAACACCCAACACTCTGGCCCCTCCTCTAGGCAGCCCTCCCAGACCAAACTCGGTCCAGCTCAGCCCCCTCCCCTCTTAGACCAAGTTAGTTCTGACCCCATCCTGCTGATACTGAGACCCCAGGCAGCCCTGGCCCTGGGAGGTCCCCGCCATCACTCCTGACTGTGGGCTGGCCGGGGCCTCCCAGAAGGCACCCTGAGTCACATATCCTAGGAGGAAGGAAGAGGCCCCCATGCTCTGGATCTTCCTCTCCCAGATGTCCTTTGACCCCATCCTCTTTCTCGGGACCAGTGCCCATCTGCCAGCGATGATCATGACCTACTTGTGCAAGGCCCCAGGGGTACTGGAAAAGTGGAGGTGGGTGAGGGGAGGTAGGGCAAGCAGTGCCACATATCTGTGACGGCACTGCCTTGCTCAAATGCTCACAGCCAAGGGTTTCTGTGATACACCAACTTGACTGATGCCCACCCCAAGAGCACAGGGCACCCTGTGCCCAGGAGTGCCCTCTGTGGGCTACATGGGGAGGTCAGCCAGCCCACACTGCCTTCCGGGTCTCTCTATCCTCAGCCTCCACTGCCCACCCCCCACCCCAATCCATTATAACTTCCCTTTGATTCATGCTCCTGCTGTCTCCTGCCCTTCCTGGCCAGGCTTGGGGATCCTCACATCTTAACCCCACAGCAGCACTCTCTCCACCTGCTCACACCTCCTTCCCCTGTCACACCTCACAAGAGGCCTTCTGTTACAGACCCCACTCCCCATGGCTCTGCTTTGCCCTTGATCCCTGTCCTTCATTCATCAAACATTCATTCAACAAACATTCACCTAGCAGCTCTTCATGCTGTGTGCACAACAGACCCTTGTTCCCTGGAGGTTCCCAGCTCATGGGGAGACAGGAGCAACAACACAAGGAGAAGGCCTCCCTGGTGGTGCAGGGGTTAGATGCAACCTATGAAGCTGTCCTCAGCCACCGCAGCATGAGTTCGATCACGCCGCTGGCCAGGGAGCACCCCACATGGCGCAGCAGACCTCCCCTGTCTTGTCCACTGCCCCCCTCAGCAGTGTATTGCAGTCAATCCACCTGTTCTGTTCCCCACTCTGTCTCTGGTGAATCCTCTCACCCCCCACAATTCTGGCTTGTACCCCAGCTCTTATATGCATAAATAAATAAACCTTAAAAAAAATACAAGGAGAAATCAAGAGTTGTATGGTGAGTTGGAAGTGAGTGTGTGGTATGGAAGACCACGGCAGAGAGGCTGAGGGGTGGAGGTAGGTAGTCATCCAGGGCAGGTCCTGACTAAAGCTCATACCACGTGATCCATGACAGTCACCCTGGGGACAGGGACGTTGCTGAGAGGGGTAGGCTCGAGGGGGTCACTGAGGACCAAAGGTGGGTTTCCCCCAAGACTGGACAAAGTCATGCCACATCATCACACATTTGGAAGTGCCCCTAACCCAGACCGCCCCCTACATTCTAATCTCAACACCCCCAGGAGCTTCCAGTGTCTGCCCTTTTCTAGCCCAGTCCCCTGCTGGCACCCCATCCTCTAGGATCACCTGTCCAAATCACTCCTGTGACCCTCTCCCTATTTAGAGGCTTCCGGAGTCTTCTCAACTGGCCTGCAGCCACCAGGCCAACAGCCACCAATGTGGAGTTCGCTGTAGAGATTCCAGGTCTCTCACCACCTCACATCTGGGATAGGCCACCAAATCTCTCCAGTGCTCACTCCCAACTCAAACCGAAGCCATTTTCCACCTCTGCATAGGCCATTGGCCTGCCTGTCACCTGTCAGAAGCTTCCCTAACCCCTACCCTGCCCACTTTCCCCATCATCCTATTTATCCCCTCTTCGCACAGGTCTCTCTGCAGACTGCCTGCCGCAGTCCCAACTGGAATGTAGCTTTGGGCGGGGACTTTTTGTTCACTGCTGAGCTTCCAACAGAGCAGACATCCTGGGTCCCCAGTGAATGAACAACCAATACTGGGACCCCCCCCCAAGTCAAAAGGATGGCACAGATAATTCATAAATATTGGTAAAGGCCAGTGTTTCGATGTTAAGGATTTCGGGTTTTAACCCAAGAGCAAAAGGAAGCCAGAGCATTTTGGTTTTGTTGGTTTCTCTTACGGGTCAGTACTTTACCCGCCCCGCC